AAGTAAAAAAGCAACATTATTTTATTTTATTTTATTTTATTTTATTTTATTTTATTTTATTTTATTTTATTTTATTTTATTTCTCTTTTCACGAATAAAATACATACCGTTTTTCATATCGAAAATTAATAGGAAAATTCTTTTCAATTATTCATAAGTTCGACGTATAACGATTACGCGTGCAGTGAAAGTTTGCGAGTACATCTATTTCTTTTTATTTACTTCTTTTTCTTTTTCTTTTTTTTCCTACTTTCGAGAAATGAAATTAATCGAATGATATTTACGAACGATATTTTTTTTCTCACGAGAGATATTTTTCATCTTCGTGTTGGACGATGAAAGAAAGATTTATTAATGATTTATAAATCTCATCGATTGATCATTTATAGAATAGAAATGTAATTCCATCCAATTAATGGATGTATAAATATCGATATATATCGAATTTATTATCGAATTTTAATCGTTACGAGGTAGATCTTTTCAAGATCGATGCAATGTATATAGATAACGGATATAGATATTTTATTTATTGACTTTAATTTAACGCGTTCATTGACTTTCTATATCTATCTATCTATCTATCCATCCATCCATCCATCCAACCATCTATTTATTTCTTTCTCTTTTTTTATAAAATCGAATTGGATTTGATACATCAGGAAGTTTGAAATCACCCGTTGAGAAGAAATCAAGAGATCGTCTCGTCGTTGATATTTTAAGATTAAAAAAAAAAAAAAAAAAAAAAAGGAGGAAAAAAATCGTATCGCTTTAAACTTTTTCATCAAAATTCAATGATAACTATATATTGTATATCGAATAAATGTCATTATATCGTATACAAAAAAAAAAAAAAAAGAAAAAAAAAAGAAAAAACCACGACTATATCCAACGTAAAAATGTTACAATGACAAAAGATATAATATTTTCTCGAGAAAAAATATATTTTTCGAAACGTAGGTTTTAAAGATCGAAACAAGATGAAGTTAGAGAGTAGATATACCTTACTCGTGAAAGCGATTTATAGCTTTTACGTGACTATTTGTTCGGTAAAGTCAGTCACGGTATTCCCAGATGGCAGAATCGCGTTCGGTACGAATCAGTTACATCTAAAGTAAAGTAGATATATTTTCTCTTGGATATACTTCTCGCGATACTCTACGACAGCAAATTCTATGAAAGAAAGAAAGAAAGAAAGAAAGAAAGAAAGAAAGAAAGAAAGAAAGAAAGAAAGAAAGAAAGAAAGAAAGAAGACAGACAGACAGAGAGAGGATATACTTCTCGCGATACTCTACGACAGCAAATTCTATGAAAGAAAGAAACAGAAAGACAGACAGACAGACAGACAGAGAGAGAGAGAGAGGGGAGGGAGAGAGAGAGAGATAGAAATAGAGATAAAGATAGAGATGGAGATAGAGAGAAACGTTTATTTGCTCTCTCGTCGGGGGTGCATCGGTCTCTCTATCTCTTATCCTCGCTTATTCAACGAAATCCATCGAGAAAAGCTACGTAGAAGCTTTGCAAGTAAATCTTTATGCCCCTCCGGAGACCACGGAGAAACGTATCTAACGCGTATACTGGGGGCCCACTCACTCACTCACTCACTCACTCACTCACTCATTCTCTGTGAGATCGATCGGAATATCGATTTACGCCTACATTTACCATCGTTTTTCATCAAAATAGACAGACAAAGTGAGTGAAAAAGAAAGAGAGAATATAAAGAGTACAATAAAAAAACATCTGTGTTAACTAGAACGCTACATTGCGTTATAATTATATGCATATATATAGAAAATAAATAAAAAGAGAAAAAAGAAATATATATATATATATATATATATAAAAGATCAATATTATCGAATCAGCTGATTCGTCATTAAAATATAATACATAATATCGATTATTTTCTTATTAATTTATTCTCATTGACAGAAACGAAACATGTCTTTTAATGATATTGAGTCAGGAAAATTTTGAACAAAAAAAAAAAAAAAAAAAAAAAAAAAGAAAAAAAGAAAAAAGAGAGAAAAAAAGAAAAAGATATATTTAAAATTTCTCGCTAATCGAAATGAATCAAACGCGACAATGGGAAATACAATATCGTTCTTTTGAAAATGTTTCAAAAGAAAAATAAATAAATAAATAAATAAATAAATGAATAAATAAGTGCTATCGACATATCTTAGTAAAACTGAAGTTCACTGGAGTATAGTAGTAAGGATATAGTATATTCCTGATCTAAGGATAAACCCAGCTGCCGTGGACACTGGAGCATTACCAGGATCTCCAGACATCGTAACTGGGAACAATGCAATCTGTTAACGGTCCGACCCGACTGTCTTGCTAGTTATGTGGGAGTGAAGGAAAGAGAAAGAGAGGAAGAGAGGGAGGATAAGTGGGTGAGGAAAGTAGGAGGGATGAAAAGGAAGGAAGGAAGGAAGGAAGGAAGGAAGGAGAAGCAAAGGATACGATCGATCGCCTTTTGCTTTGAGCACAGAGCGTACAATATGTTTCTCTATATACAGGAATATCTTTCTTTTTTCTTTTTTTTATTCCCTGTTTTTCTGTCTTTTCTTTTCTTTTTTTTTTTTTTAAATATGTATTACAACAAGTTTCACATAACATATTTCTGATAATATATTTTCCATAATAACAATGATATAATTCGTATAAATGTAAATGTAAATTTTCAAGTTACGCTTTGTTTCTAATTTATTTTATTAAAAAAAAATATAAGAAATATTCTATACATATATGTGCGTACGTGTATAATTCCTTTCTCTCTCTTTCTCTCTCTCTCTCTCTGTTTCTCTGTTTCCTATGTGAATACGATAGAGGTAAAAATATAGAATACATTCGAATGGCTTTTCAGAATATATTGGAGAGAGAGAGAGAGAGAGAGAGAGAAAGAGAGAAAGAAAAAAGAAAAGAAAAAAAAAATAAAGAAAGAAAGACTACTTTTCTACTCGAATAAGTTATAGCAAAAGAGGAATAAATACGATAGATACATGTTTACGGCGACGAAGAAAAGTCATTATCCGTGAAATAGTTCAATGGATTCGTTTAATGGTTAAACCGTGAGACGCGTGCCAAGTGAAACGTATGTTTTCTATATATATTAGATACTACTGTACTATATTAGCACGATATATAAATCATTCTACGA